ACCCACCTGCAAGCATTACCTTTCGGATAAAAAAATAATTATCCAAATCGGTCCACTAGCGGCGGAGTTATGCCGTAACACACATAAAAAATTAAAAAAAAATAATAAATAAATAAAAAAATATATATATCGTCGAATTGAATACCTCCTTCTTTTGGGAAGTCGGTCAAAAAACAAAACCGACTTCTAAACAAAATACTCTAAAACCAAAATATTCTCGAAAAAAACGTCAGTCAATGTAGATTCATTACTTAATCGTTACTATACTTTCAACTGTCAATTGTTATGGTACAAATGTGGAAACCCTTACGTAGAAATATCACTAATTACGATTGCTACAGCCGTAGGTTCGAAAAAAAACCAATTTACTTATAATTATTTATTATACTAAAAATTACAAATTAAATCTCAATTGCTAACTAATCTAACTATCCAATTCGAAGTGTGAATTTGGAATGTTCTTCTATTGTTTTTGTCACATAATAACGCCTCGGGTCACGTTATGCAGCATCGGCGGTTAGTGCCTCGTGCCACTGCGCCTCGTGTCTTCTAATTTAGGTCGCATCGACGTCAATGCTGCGTATGCGATATTCCTTATGGCTATGTATGTAACGCACTGCATACCTCGGCTGACACCGACATCAAAGTAAATAATAATAGTACAAAATAGACAAAACAGTTACAATAAGGTAGGTTTACTATTTTCAAGGAATTATTTCGTTACTTTTTTAGTGTACTGTTTTTTTGAGAATATTTTGTTTTTGGTGTATTTTGTTTTGTTTTTAGTGCATTTTGTTTTGTTTTTAGTGCATTTTGTTTTGTTTTTAGTGCATTTTGTTTTGTTTTTAGTGTATTTTGTTTGGAAGTCGGTTTTGTTGAAATACCTAAGTACCACGCCTACAAGAAAATGTCATAAATCACCCAATATTACTCGGTGTTATTACTGATAATGCTCGGTGTTCGCCATGGGCAAAGAGTAAGCCTACAAATATGTTAAATAAAGTTTTTTGCATTTATTTAATAAGAAAACTAGATTATTCCTTAATCGGTGGTAAGTGTTTTATCAATTTTACATTTTATATTATTGCTGGATAACGATTCTCTTTTATTTGTTGAAAGATTACAAATTTTTGCAAGACGTAACTGTGTATGTAAAATTTTCTTTTGCAATACTCCAAATGAAAACTTTAGTTTTAGTTAATAATTTATATTGTATTGCAGGTGGATAACAAGTCTCATGAAGTAAGTAAATCAACGTGCAAACCAAATCGCGGATACTGCTAAAACGTGAATGAGAATATGTAACAACGTAACCTCAAAGTTTGTTATAAATGCGCAGTTTTACAATACTTTGTAAAAATAATACACTATAGCACCGGATACTTCTTCAAGTAAAAAGGTAATTTATTTAAATTCAGAGTACCGTTGTTTTTTGTTTGTAATAATTACTTAATTCTCTAAAATACTGTATTACTCCATAAAATAAAACGTTTGTGTGTAGTATTAAAATGTAGTAGAGAAATAGCTTTTTAAGTAAATGTTTATTCAGTTTTTGTGCTGTAAAACCATTTATTTAGTTTTGATAGTGTTTTTATTAACTTAAGGAAAAAGAAAACATTAGAAAGTAATATTAAACTCCCTGTAATGACAGAAAAAAAAACATTTAATTCTCCTAGATAAAATTAATGATCGTCAATAGTAAGTGCAAGGTACAAAATATTATGTTTTCTCTTCTAAATTTCAAGTTAATAAGAATAAAAAATAAACTGAAGAATTATCTATAGAACATAAAAAAGAACCAATATAAAGGATTTCTTATCCCTAATTCACGAGATATAAATTCATTTTAGTAAGTGTTTTGAAATGTTTGCGATGATAGGTTACAAATGAAGTAACATAAAACGTTTATTTATTTTTTAATACATATTGTATGTTTTAGTACAAGTTTTATTTTTATCTTTTTGTTCTGCTAATAGATGGGGAGATGGCAAAGGTAGAAGAAATTGAGACCTAATGGTTCTGTGAAAGCATGTTTAGATTACTCGCATACTCAATTTTGCGAAATAAAATTATTTGAAACCACAATGTCTTTTGTTCCACCTTCTCCCACATACCTATCTATACACTGTTATACAATATTAAATAAGTATACTGTGAAAAAAATGTAACCACCTGCTTCACCTGTTTCCAACAGTCGCCTAAATCAACATGCTTCGACTTGCATTCGCATACAATTCACCTGCATACACCATGCTCTAACCCTCAATCACCTGAATCCTTCTGAATCCATCTGCTTTCACAGGAATTCCCCTGCAAATCAGATACTACAACCGAAATCCACCTTAAACGCACAGGATCTCTCCAAAATCACCTGCACCTAACCAACAACTTTCTGAACCAGAGGAGGACCATCTGCTAACATTTGCAACTTCCTTCACCCACCTGAACCCAACTGCAAACACCTGACAACCTTTGCATCCCCTTGCAGTGTAACCTGCAACCAATTGCAACCCCGTAGTCCATGTGTTATTCCAGACTTTATTTTATTACTGTTCAAAATCTGAATTAGATATATTAAGCTTAAATAACTACATATTCCGCGTGAACCCGACACTCTTCGCCGATGTAAAGTATCCCACATAGTATTATAGACTATGTTCTATATCTGTGCTAAATTTCAGTTAAATATTTTTAACCGCTGCGGAAAAAAGACATATCCCTCGGGATCATAAAATTTTAGGAGGTGTACTTATCCCATGTGTTACTTAAGACTTTGTTTTATATCTGGGCCAAATAACAATAAGATATGTTGAACCGTTTAAGGGTTATCGAGTAAACATTAAAAATTTAAATTAATTTATCCCACTGGAACCGTACCTATTTCTGGGATAAAAAGTAGCTTATGTGTTCTTCCAGACTTTGCTCTACATCCGTGCCGAATTTCAGCGAGATCCGTTCAGCTGTTTAGGCTACAAATTCTAAAAACACCCATCCATCCATCCATGTAAACTTTCGCATTATAATTTTAGTAACTATTATGAGTATTAAGTATGATTACTATTGCTAAACTTTTTGAAAATACTATGCTTAGTTTTCATATTTTTTGGTTCAAATCAAAGGAACTTAAAAATAATTTTAATTTTACAATCAACTACGAGTATACAGGCTGTTCGGGAAAGACGTGCACTGGACTACCACAGATTCCTTGGTCCAAAACATAATAATTTGATCCGCCTCTATCCGAAATTGCTCCGTTTGGGCCCTAGAGGGCTCTAAAGTGTGGTAATTATTTTGTTGAAATATCTCGAAAATCCCTAAATTAATTTTATTCATAGTGAAAGCATGGTTTATGTTTGTTAAACTACACCTTTTGTGGAACGAACTTTTGTCATAATATCATCAATTTTTAATCATATTTTTGTAACCGCCTGCACTTCTACTGATATAGAACGTATGATTTAAAAGATTTTTGGTCTGTTTAAATTTTAATTTGCGAACGGTTTTGGCGCAAAATTGTATTTTCTAAATTAACTTCGAGCTTAACTGAGAGACAATGAATTAACATTAATCCTTTTTCCAAAATTTGGTTAGATAGGGGAAAGATTTGTATTTTTGGATTTTTGAATGTGAAAAATGATTCACGCAACAACTACTAGACCGATTTTAAAACTTCTTTCACCATTAGACAGGAAATTATCTGCGAGTAACATAGACTATATGTAATTAAGACTAATGTTTAAGAAGTATTAATAAACAATGTATTTCTGGACCCTAGCGTTAAAAAACCACTAGATTTTAACTTTTCTTGGCCTACGATGCCTAAACCGTCAGAGGCATATAAAAATATTATATGAAGGAATTGTAGATGTCAAAAAGTTCTACAGAAACGTTTGAGATGGCATATATAACTAGTTTACTATGTGGTATTACTGGGGGCGTGCCGGCCCTGCAGTGCTAATATGTTAAAGCGGGCACTACCACTGTTAAATTATTTGAATAGGACTAATAGTTTAGAAGACATCGCGAACACAAACAATAAGGGTAGCCGAAAAATCAGCTCACAAACTACCGGGCTTAGAAATATGGAATCTTGCATAGAGATTTTTGTTACTGTGTAAAGGTAATAAGGGGCGAACGTGAATTTTGTGCTTTATAAATTCCACGCGGACGAAGTCGCGGGCAACAGCTAGTCTCTTATAAAGAAAACCTGTTGTTTGCAGCTGGGCGGCGCGCCGTGGACGGTGGAGGTGCCGCTGAACGCGCTGATGGTGATCGGGTACGACGTGTGCCACGACACGATGCTGAAGCAGCGCAGCTACGGCGCTTTCGTGGCGACGCTGGACCGCCAGATGACGCAGTTTTACTCCGCGGTCAACGCGCACACCTCGGGCGAGGAGCTTAGCTCGCACATGAGCTTCAACATCGCCTCCGCCCTAAGAAAGTTTAGAGAAAAGAATGGTGAGAAACAAACACTAGTGTTATAATAGACTAGCTGTTCCGGTGAGACTTCATCCATATAAAGTTATGATTTTTTTTTTGTGTTATGTTTCAAATCATCATCATCATCATCATCATCATCATCATCATCACCATCATCATCATCATCATCATCATCATCATCATCACCATCATCACCATCATCATCAAATATATTAAAGCATAAACACACATTACTTCGTGGCGTAGGATGTCTGCAATCACAGTATACTTGAACAATTCTTTCTTTAATAACGAGCCCTACATTTACGACACGCTTTAGGCTATATTTTTAGATGTTCCATATTTACATTTCGACATTATTTATTAATTACTTACTTTAAAACTCAAGTAAGCCAACAATGTAAAGATCGAACGTTCCGTAGTGACTACTAGAAATGTACTGAGCTACTGAGGTACTGACGGCCAGAGAGCTTGTTAGCGACTGAGCGACTGAGAAACTAAGGGGCGATGCACTCCTTGCAAAGATTTTTATGAAACTACCCCCACTATTGTAAAACTA